AACTGGGTATCAGGAGCCCTTCCTGGGCTGAACTGGGGATAAGGAGCCCTTCGTGGGCTGAACTCAGAATCAGGAGCCCTTCCTGGGCTGAACTGGGGATCAGGAGCCCTTCCTGGGCTATACTCGGGAACAGGAGCCCTTCCTGGGCTATACTCGGGAACAGGAGCCCTCAGTGGGCTAAACTCGGGAACAGGAGCCCTCCGTTGGCTAAACTTGGGAACAGGAGCCCTCCGTGGGCTAGATTCGGGGGCTGGAGCCAACACTGGAGCGAGCTCTGGGACTGGAGCCGACACTGGAGCGAGCTCTGGGGCTGCAACTCCCATGCATACTCCACAAAGGCGATAAAACGAGCGGCTACTTTCATGCCGCGGGGAGAAACACACAGTAAAACAAAAGACTTTAAAAACAAAAAACAAACATGGGGAGAAGGGGCGCCGCTTACTGTCCTGGTCCGGTATTCTGTCACGTTGCTACTGTGAGGGAGCGCTGAGCAAAGGAACGAGGAGTACATCAACAAGAAGATTTTAATTATAACCAGGGAACCAGGAAAACACACGTAGCAGATGAGGTAGACATAAACAGACATTCACAATACCGGACAACGAATGGACATAGGAGACAGGCTTATAAAGGAGCACAAATGATAAGACTAAATATACACGGCTGGAGAGAAATCAACATAATCAGAACAGGAACAGGAAGAACCAAATAAGGGCAAAAGGAAACACATGGGAAAACCAGGAAATGGAACACGAGGGGAGCAAAACACGGAATAGAGTCTGACATATATATTTTGTATTTTCAACAATGTGTATTTTCATAATAATCAAGGAAATTCACAAACAAGTTTGGACTGGAGTCAGTAAGATTATTTTGTTTTTGAAAAAAGTCTCTTATGTTCGCAAAGGCTGCATTTACTGGATACTGTAAAAAAAAAAATAAAAAAAAAACAATTGGGCTAGTGAATGTGTGATTCTGTTTGGTTGATGAAAGGTGCGCAGTTATTGTCCAGGAAATGCACAGCATGAAGTAGTTCCATTACAGTTACAAATGATTTCACCAAATAATTTCCATGATACTTTTTTTTAGGATTACTTGATGAATAGACAGCTATAATTAACAGCAGCAATTCTGAAGTATATATTTTTTATTTATTTATTTTTTTTTATTAATTAGTGACGTAACGTGACATGTGGCCAAGTATGGTGACCCATACTCGGAATTAGTGCTCTGCATTTATCCCATCCTAAGTGCACACAAACAGCAGTGAACACACACACACTGTGAACACACACCCGGAGCAGTGGGCAGCCATTTATGCTGTGGCGCCCGGGGAGCAGTTGGGGGTTCGGTGCCTTGCTCAAGGGCACCTCAGTTGTGGTATTGAAGGTGGGAGAGAGCACTGTACATTCACTCCCCCCACCTACAATCCCTGCCGGTACAAGACTCGAACCCACAACCTTTGGGTTACGAGTCCGACTCTCTAACCATTAGGCCACGACTTCCCCCCGACTTCAAATAGAAGTAGAATTTGAAAATGTACTTGAAATATAATTTTTTAATAACATTGTAAATGTCTTCACTGTCACTTTTGGTCAGTTTAATGCATCCTTACTGAATAAAAGTATTAATTTCTGTATGTATATAAAGAACTTTGACATGGGCTCTATGAATGAGACTGGCGAACATGTCTAGTCTAACGACCTTGTAAAACGACCTGTAGAAATGCTAAAACATCAATTCTTTCTAAGTTAAAGAGAAATATAATAAAATGAGACAGATTCTGAAATTGCATTTTTCTTGTCATTCTTATCTCAGATGCACATCTGTCTCTGTTTGTTGATGTTCACTGTAATGTCTCTATATCTGAAGGACCGTCATTCTGCCGTCAAAAGAGGTGAGGGAGAATCATCCCCCAGTACCAGCCCTGAAGACACCGGCCAGTGTTTCAAGGTCACCGGTGATGGTCAGGCACTGCAGGTGAGTCCTCAGCAGACACACTCTGGGAATGCAAATCTGTGCAGCACATGTACTGCATGTGTGTTTGTAACTTTTTCTCCCTTTCTGCTTTTTAAGATCACCCCTCTGCCTGGGACGCACCCCCTCCTCATGCTGGTTAATCCTAAAAGTGGCGGTCAGCAGGGAGAGAGGTAAACGTCTTTGAAGCTCAAACTGTTGCATCATAATTTTTCATATTCTCCGACCTTGTACTGCTGTAATGGTTCCAATGAGGAGGTTTGTCAAACCATCTGAAGTCAGTCGAATCTGCATAGACATGTTAAACAAAAGTCCCACTCTTTTTCTTGCTTACTGGCAGTGTCCTAAATACCATCAAAGCTAGCAGGAGACAGTAATGCTGTTTAAGGAGGAAGAATGTGGGTGTTGTTTCAGCTCTCACCACCCACCCAACGTCCTCCGGGAGACCGGTTTTAGGATTTTGTGCTGGCATCACCATAGCAACACAGTTTAAAATACCATTAATTGGCTGATTATCCTCCATTATTAGACATGTGCTCAAACAGGGCAGTTATGGGGATAACTGCCCTGGCCCCAAAAAAGAAAGGCCATTTTGGTGGTTCTTTGATGCAAACAAAGGAACAGAGTGCTCACCGTTGAATCATACTGTACCGAGTGTATTTTTCCACCATATTCACCCTGAGTAGCGTACTGAAAGCTCATTGGTCGGGCTTGACACTTGACTGCGTTCTTTTGTTCTTCGCATAGGGAATGAATGAATTCTTCAGTGTTGATAAGTGCTCAAATAATCATCCCCACATAAAAGCATAGCTTGTGACGCACCTCAAACTAACAGCCTGTCTTATTTCTCTCTCACTCTTATTTCTCTTCCTCTCTCTGTGTCTTTGCATACTAAAGGGGCAGAGTAGCTAACAGAGTTAGAAGTGAAGGACATTGCAGAGTCCTCAATAATCATTTTATTGCTTCAAGGTTATTGAGGGGCACTGCTGCAACAGTGTGTAACCTGTGTATGTGTTTTTCTGTCCTGCTTGATTTCATTGATTCCGAGGTTTGTGTGGCCTTTTATGATAAAGGAATGATGACGTTTTAAGAATATCATTCCTCCATATGTTTGTCTATCTGTCTTTTCAAGGAACAGTTCAACCAAAAAAACAGTCTGTCATCATTTACTCATTTCCAACATTAGAGCTGCAATGAACAATCTGTTGATTATTTCTTTGATTAATTGGGGTGGGCATCGCATCGCAATTCTCTCATGATCTCTTATGAAGGTACCAAGAAGTCTATCTGTCTTTTCAAGGAACAGTTCAACCAAATAAACAGTCATCATTTACTCATTTCCAACATTAGAGCTGCAATGAACAATCTGTTGATTATTTCTTTGATTAATTGGGGTGGGCATCGCATCGCAATTCTCTCATGATCTCTTATGAAGGTACCAAGAAGAGATAGGATGCATGTCAAGATTTTCTATCCATAATAACATATATGATATTTTATAGTGGTTTTTTTTTTCTTTGATTGTCACCTCCGTACTTAATAATTTTGTACAGATTGACCAGGATATTCTTCAGAAATTAAACCTTTGTGTTCAATGAAAGAAGGAAAGTCATTTGGGCTTGGAATGACAAGAGGGTTGGTAAATGATGGCAGAATTGTTATTTTTGGTTGAATTATCCCTTTAAGCCTTTTATCATATTGTGAAGTTCACAGTGATTATGTTTAAAAATGTCATTCCTCTATCTGTCTTTTAATGCTTTTCTGTTCTCATCTGTCTTCATCAGGGTGCTGCGGAAATTCCAGTACCTGCTTAACCCCAGACAGGTGTACAGTCTGGATCGAGGAGGACCCATGGCGGGGTAAGACTATTAAAAGCCACCATCAAATTTCAAGGGAGATGTGTGCGCATAAAACATTTTTTGAGTCATGACAGGGAATTGCTCAAAAACAGTTTGACATTCTCACTGTTGTTTTGTTCTGGCATGGCTCCCTCTCTCTCTTATCTTTTTGCTTCTACAAACCTGCAATAAAGTGAGCCAACCTGCAATCAACTAGTCTGAGAGAGGAACCACTTGCAAAGTGGAGCTGACTTTGAGAGACCTACAAGACATTTACTATGACTCAAGCAGCCCCCTGCTGAGTAAATGTATTAATTCAAGCGCTGAATGTTCCTCTGAGCCTGTCAGTCACGACGAGGCTTCCTCTATAAGCGACTACATTTTACTAAAGCCTCTACCCATGCACCCCACCTGTCTTTAACAATAGACCAACTCAGGGTCATCCAAATCAGTTTCAACAGTAGCATAGCAGTGAAATCTGACAATGTCACTGTAAGAGGTTCATATTTAAATATTATTTTATGAGCGCCAAATTGGCATATACTCCATACATAGTATCATAGGTTTGAATTAAAATGTTTTAATAGAAATAAATGCAAATGAGACCATTGTAGGCAATATGTTAAGAAGAACAGTGTTAGTATTATTTTATACTACTACGCTATTTATACTTTGAAATGACTTTAAATTTTTATAATTTTATAATTTTTAGGTTTTTTTATTTCTATTTAGATTTAATCTTTTTATTTTCCTTTTTAGTAATTTTAGTGCTTTTGAACTTAAACTCATTTCAGTTGTCAAGGCTATATTCCTATTTTTCATGTGTTTTTCATCAAATTTTTATATTTGATTTTATTTTGATTAACAAAGCATTTTTTGCAGTAGTTTGTCCATACAGTGGATGAGTAGCACAGAAATAGTTTTAGTTAATAATAACAACATTGATATAGAGCAGTATATTTAGGATGGCACAGATTAGATCATTTGACCTCGGAAGAACTTGATGAGAAATCATCTTAACATCTTAAACCAGTCTAAGTTGATTTGCTGGTCTAAATTGTTCTCCCAGCATGGTCAGATTGGTCCGTTAGCTGGTTTAGGGAGGTTTTGGCTAGCTTTAGGCTGCCACTAGCTGGTCATGCAGCTAAAACTTGCTTGGCTTGACCGAAAGACCAGCATAAACCAGTTTACAGTAGGCTGGTTTAAGGTTTTTTTCCATCATGAATTTTACGTTCATATTAAAGTTGGCAAATCTGAGCACAGTTTGAGACATTAAGATCTTTTCTGGGCTTATTTCTCAAGAGAAACATCTGAGAAGCAGAAGACATTTATCTAACAGTTTAGATTTTAAAGAGATTTCATTTGTGTTTTTTATTTGCTGAGCTCTCACTTCCACTTTAGTGTACTACTATTATGCAGTTACACATTCTACAAACCCACTCAAAACGCATGAGTACATTCTGTTCAGCATCCGGCGGTTGTGCAACAGTGATTCTCATTCAGGAAAAAGAAGAGAGAGAGAGAAGTACAGAACAAAAGCTAAGCAATGGTCGTTTCGCGGGAAAGCAGGCTAACCTTCCGTCCCAGATCCCCCTCCCACCACACAGTGTTCTGTAGTCACAACTGGAGCACTGCTCATCTTGAAGAGACCACTCAGAGAGAGAGAGAGAGAGAGATTGTGTGACATTGCTGATTTCACTCATGGAGAACAATTTGGACATATATTAAATGTTCTTTCTTAAGCACTTCGATAATTTATAAGCATGTAGATCAAGCAGCCTTTTTAGATATGATGTTTTTAATGTGTCCTGTTAATGACTGTGCCATTGCTTGTGGTAACAGCTCTTCATTAATACAGAGAATTATTCTGAAAGAAAAAGCAACCAAAATTCAGTCAAACATTATACATTTATAATAGGGGGGAAAAGCAACTAAATAAATACACTACTGATCAAAAGTTAAGGGTCAGTAAGATTTTTTTAATTAAGAAATTTGGTTTAGGATACATGAAATTTGTCAAATGTGACAGTAAAGGCATTTATAATGTTACAAAATATTTCTGTTTTTAAAAAATGCAGTTCTTTTGAACATTCAATTTGTAAATGAATCCGGGGGGGGGGGGACATAAGCATTACAAAGTCCTACTGACCCCAAAGTTTTGAACAGTATACTATTTAATAAAAAGTAAATAAACAGTACTGTTTAAATTGTATTCCTTACCGCTGTTTGATTTAGATTTTTTAATTCACTTTATTTGAACATAAATCTACTTATTTTTCTATACTGCTCTTACACTGCTGTTTTAGCTTTCTAATATTCTGGTTTATTTGCCTAAAAATTAAATTTATGTCATTTATTCACTTTCATGTCATTCTGAAGCTCTCAGACTTTATTCCCTTTGTTGAACACAAAGGAAGATATTTTGAAGAATGTTGGTAATCAAAAAGTTTTGGTGTACTGTTTAAATTGTATTCCTTACCGCTGTTTGATTTAGATTTTTGAATTCACTTTATTTGAACATAAATCTACTTATTTTTCTATACTGCTCTTACACTGCTGTTTTAGCTTTCTAATATTCTGATTTATTTGCCTAAAAATTAAATTTATGTCATTTATTCACTTTCATGTCATTCTGAAGCTCTCAGACTTTATTCCCTTTGTTGAACACAAAGGAAGATATTTTGAAGAATGTTGGTAATCAAAAAGTTTTGGTGATTATTGACTTCGATTTTATGGATTGTATGTGTTCCACAGAAGAATCTCATAGGTTTGAATCTACATGAAGGCGAGTAAATGATTATAGAATCAATTGATTGTGTCGCTCTGGATGGATCTAAGCATTTGCTAAATGAATAAATGTAAATATAATGCTGTGTATCATCAGTACAGCTTCACTATTAACGCTGCAGATGGATTATCTGAGAACAAACCACTTTAATTGGGTTATATTCTCATCTGATCTTTCTTTTTTTTTTCAATCTCCTGGTCATTTCATTTTAAAATTGCCAAACTGATGATTGACACTCAGGGGTCTGAGTGGAGATCCAAAGATGGAGAGATGAAAATAGACAAGTGTGCTCTTTTGCTCAGTGTCTGCGCAGAAGAGGCCACTCTTGCAGCTTTATATGGAAAAACACATAGATTGCTCAAGTATCTGTTCTCTGTTGCCCATGTCATTGGAGAAGGAATTGTTTACGCAAACCGCATTTCTACAACAGCAGCCTACGTTGCCATTTCAAACAGACCGGCACTGGTACATTACAAATTTATCTGGAACAGAGCTCATTTAGTCAGACTGAAACACGATTCCAGCTCAAGCCTGTCCAGAACCACACAGCCATGTTCCACTTGTGTTACTCAGCTATTGAACTTCAGTGGACATCCATGTCGAGGATGTTGTTGTTGTCGATATAGTTTGAGAATTTTCATAGCACTACAGCAATAAACCTGAGAAGGTATGAAAAACTGAGAACTGCTTGATTGACTTGTTTTCATGGTAAACGTAGTGGCACATTTACTCTCCTCTTTTGCTCTTGTCCTGTATACATAAAACATGCTGCAGTGTCAGAGCCTATCAAAAGAGGTTACACAGTATAAATTTTTCACACATTTGTGTGACTGCTTTGCTTGCGTGTGACACTCAGTGCTATAGCAGATCCCACATGTGTCTATATGCAGGATATGTTCCCCAGTCACCCATGTGCTGCAGTATATGCTCCTGACCAGCAGAGGGTGATATCTTCTTCAGCCTCTGTCCTGCTTATATATTGAGTGCTTGTCTCACAGCTCTAGGCCAGTTCACAAACAAATAAAAAGTGAACAAAGTTTTGGGACTCAAACTTTAGCAGTCAAAAGTGTAGAAACAATGTGCCAAAAAGGCTTCAGTTTAGATGTTTTGGCGTCTCAATGGGTTGACTTCCAGAGTTTTTCTCCCATGACACTGAATTAAAACAACACAAATCTTCTGTAACATCCTTCAGATCAACCATAAAGCACTGAATAGTAAACTGTACATTGCCACTGGGGAATAGTGTGAATGCTGTAGATTGGTGGGTAGGTTTGCTTTACTGCAGTGTAGTCACTCCACAGGATCACTTTAATTATAGGACCAAGGAAAGCTTTCACGCAAATACATGAAAGGCACCATCTCATTGTTTTTATGTCTCCCAGGCTCAACTTTTTTCGAGACGTGCCCAATTTCCACGTGCTGGCCTGTGGAGGCGATGGATCAGTGGGGTGGATTTTGGACTGTATTGGTGAGTACAGATCAGCAATCAGTGTTTTCCAGAGCTGTAATAATTAACACTGTTACATGGACTTAATAGACCATCAGCCTAATGTAGAAGTTTATATGGTACATGCATAAGTATCATGAACTCGCTTTGGGATTTCTCACACGACAGTATTTCAGCTGCTCTGTACAGAAAATAAAATGATTTCTTGTTTGCTAAATATCACTTTCATCTTTCAAGATTAGTTTTTAATGATATGAGCAAAGAAAACACCTTCATTTGAGATACAGATCTTATACTGACCGTCTAGTTTGATTGCACTTTATATTTCCTGCTATTTTGCATCTGCATTTCCCCTAGGAGATCAATAAAGCATGTCAACCAATTCATCGACAAAGATTTGAACATTAGGACATCCTTCCATGTGGTACTTGACTCTTATTTAAGGCACATATAATTGTAACGTTTAACCGTCAGAAAGATTGTTCACAAATCATTGTTTCTAGGAAGCGCATTGACTCATCTGTGACCTCTTTCATACGAGTGAATGCAGATATAATGGCCTGTCTTTCCCCCTCCTGACAGCCGTATTGATGTTAATGGACGGGCGCTGGAGAGGAACCTGTGTGGGCGGTGGTAGATATCGCCGCTAAGTGCTGATTTAGAATCAACTTGGTCTCCAAACCTTTGGCTCGAAATTGCAACTGGCTGACAGTACTGAAACCTGAACTTAGATCAGAAGCGATGTGCTCTTTATCCCTTTAGAGACTCTTTAGCCTGGCAAATTGAGGAGGACAGGGACGCATGTGGGAGTTTGTCCTCCTAACAGCCCTAAAGTGATGATATAGGAGCAGCTTTTGAATGAGAGCCGCTCTGTGATCAGTCCTTGCTTGTTGTTCACCCACACGAGTTTGACTGGTATTAGAAAATGTCTGCTGCCGACGATTACTCAGAGAGCCCCTGCGGTTAGACAGTACATCACGCCATATGGACCAGCACTGAAAACAACGTCCCCGCAGTCCCTGTGCACATAGCAATGAGCCACACAGGGACCATCAGCGTGAAGACAGAAAGATACAGTTCATCATGTTGCCTCTCTTCGGCAGATAGCACACACTGCTGTGTGTCTCAGAACAAGAGAAACAAACAAAATGTATTGTGAATTATTGTGAGGAATGATACACATTGATGTATGAAGCACAAGCCAATGCTGTATGCCTAACTTCAGTGCCTTTTAAAGGAGAAGTAAGATCAGGGTCCAGTTGCATAAACATAGCCACTATGTTATGACTGTGTCTTAAGAACTTGTTTGACCAACTATTAGTTAGCCAAGAGGTAAGCAGACTTAATTTTTTGATTCAAATTAGACCATTCTCCTTTTTTATAACTGACTTCAAAAAGTTATGACCAGTCTTGAAGAAAAAAAATTTGACGACTAACTTTTTAAGACTAGTCGAAGCGTTTTATGCAACCGACCCCAGGGTCTTCAACCAAGTCAACGAATTTAAAAAAATAGTGTAATATATATTCCATATTAGTGCATTTAGGCCGTTCACATGTCGCGCCTAAAAACGCGTGGAAAATGCTAGGCGCGCCGCTTTCTGCTTTTTTCCAAAGCATTCGGGCACTTGCACTCCGGAGGCGTCTGCCGTTGCTAAGCAACCATGACCTGCGCTCTCCATGAAGACGCGGAAGTTTCAGCAAAGGATAAATGGATTTGCAGCACTAAAAATCGCTTGCAGTAACTCTGCTACTAAATTTATTTAAAAATGGCTATCCCTGTACAGCTATGATCAGCTGTTCCTTCATCTTGGCTGAGCTTTCAATGATGTTACGGGAAAGGATGAAGCTGATTGGTTGGTTCTTGTCACATGACCCACGGTGCGCTTGCGGCATTCTGAAAAGTTGAAATGTTTTTATCTCGATGCGGCACGGACGCGCCTGGAAAAAATGAGCACCACGTCGCTTCCATTATGAGCGTGCCTGAGTTTGAAATAACGAACTTGAGCGCGCAAAAGCAGTGTTGCCAACTTCTTTCAATGTAAAGTAGTTAAAGCCAGTTTGAAAAGTCGCTAAATGTCGCTAGATGACATCATACGCTAATTAGCATATTCATGACGTCATCGCGTCCTATTTCCTTTTACATTTGTTTGTCTCTCTGTGACTAAATTTTAATTTAGTCAAATTCTCAATAAAACTGTTTTCATTTATATATTTTACTGTTTCTGTTGTCAGACAACAGGATAAATATGAAATAGTGACTGAAACATGGCCCTTTAAGACTAAATATTAACCAGCTATCCCTTCCAAGATGTTTATATGCACAAAAATCCTGATTTATAATTGAGCCGTCGTCTGATGAAATCAAATACACATAAGATAAAACAAGACAAAGACAATTCCTGTGCTGTGATTTCGGCTATATTTGCATGTAAAATTAGAGAAGCAACATAATATCTGTTTTAACTGAAAGCGCCGCTCATCTCAGCCTCTCTCTGAACACAACAGACGCAGAGAAAGAGGTGTGTGCGCACTGGGAAAGCAAGATCTCGCGCTCGTGCGGCAGTAACATTGAGTCATAGAGACTCGGTAAGGTTTGTTTAAGAAGTCGCTAGATTTGTCGCTAAGTCGCTTTTTTGGAAAAAAAGTCGCTAGGGGGGTCTGAAAAGTCGCTAAATCTAGCGACAAAGTCACTAAGTTGGCAACACTGCGCAAAAGACGCGATGTGTGAACTTTACCGTTTGAAAAAAAAAGTTTTTAAGAAATTACTTATAATCAGCAAGGATGCATTAAATTGATCAAAAGTAGTTTTACAAAAGATATCTGTTTCCAATAAATGCTGTTCTTTTGAATTTTCTATTCATTGAAGAATCCTGAAAGCAGTACAACTGTAGTCAACATTGATGGCACCAAATCATCATTTTGATATGATCATGTGACACTTGAAGACTGGAGTAATGGCTGCTGAAAATTTAGCCTTGCCATCACAGGAATAAATTACGTTTTATAATATGTTAAAATAGAAATGATATTTTAAATTGTAATAATATTTCACAATATTACTGTATTTTTAATTAAATAAAAGTAGCCTTGATGAGCATAAGAGATTTCTTTCAAAACCTCAAACTTTTGAACATTATTGTACATACATGCAAATCCATTAAATATAATCATAATTTATGTCCAAGTTAAATATGTGCTTTAAATTTATTTTTACTTACAGTAATATATTTTAATGTGGGTTGAAAATATTTTGAAACAAATTTATCTTTTTGAGGTATAAAGGTATAATGCATATTTACATTTTTTTCCACAAAAAATGAAATAATTAAAAAAAATTCTAATTAAAAGGATAATGACCCCCCTTTTTGTTTTCTAACACTCCCCCATGTTCCATTATTAAGCCAAACAAATAGTCCCACCCCAAATATACAGTGAAATGTTGAGCCAGTGTTGCTATATCAGGCCGCTGTGCAATGTTTTGAGCACCACAGAGCCCCATTGTTTACACTTTTCAAGGAACTCTGCACATTAAACTGGAATAATAGAGAGTGTTTTAACATGAAAATGACACACAGCAGCTTTAACAGCTCTCTTTGTTTCTCAACAGATAAGGCCAATTTTGCTCGGCATCCGCCTGTTGCAATCCTGCCGCTGGGTACCGGGAATGACCTCGCTCGCTGTCTGCGCTGGGGTGGAGGTGAGGAATAAATAAGAGACTGTCCACCAGCAGTTGGAGGAAATTACTAAAGGCCTTTGAAATGAAACTTAAAGGGCTTTCCTTCATGGAACCACTCGGGATTAGGCTTTGAATTCTTTGAATCTGAACGCAATCCCGTATAAACCCTTCAAAAGGATTTTGAGACTGCTTTCTTTTAAACATTTCCACGCACACCCCCCAACAGAAGGTCAGACTGTAATGATCAAACTTGATCGTAGTTAGCTGAATGCTCCAGTCACATGAATGAAAGAGCAAGATTTGTTGAGACCACACTTGAATTCAGGAATTTGATACTGTAATCTTCATCATACAGATGACCGTGACAAGCACTTGCCCAGTTAAACCAATTTCAGTAAAAACCTGAAGGGATAGTCCATCCAAAAAAGGAAAATTCTCTCATCATTTGTCTTCAGCGCAAAAGGAGAACTCTTGATTAATGTACTGGGCCAGTTTGACCAAACAGTTGCTGGTAGCCATTGACTTCTATACCAGCAACCAGCATTCTTTTTTAGTGTTCAGCAGAGTAAAGAAACTCATAAAGGTAAGGAACAACTTGAGGTTGAGTAAATGGCGACACAGTTTTCATTTTTGGGTGAACTATCCCATTAAACTTATTTATCTTAGTTAGATACCAAGGCAACTTTTCTCATTTAAAATAAGCTGAGCTTTTTCAGCTGTATTTACATAATTATGTATATTTCATTTTATTTTAGCTATATTACCAAAAATATTTTTCAGTAGTTTTAGTTAATAACAACACTGTTAAGAGGTGTTAGAGGCATTTTTAACAAGAGATAAATAAACTATTCTTTGAGTATATATAGACTTGCCAGTCATTTGCCAACAAGAGACCTGCACTGTTTCATTCCTGTGTGATTACATATGCTTGTCCTTGATTAGATATGTGGGTTTATTCAGTAGTTATGATGGAATGATATGCATCAGTGAGCCTGCATCTGCTTTTAAGGCAGGTGTGGATGGCCTTGTACAAGCTGCTGAATTAATTGGCCTCGTATTAGTGCTTCCTGTGTGAGCATGTGTGTGGTTTGTGCAAAAAGGTAAGGTTTTGCATAAATGCCTTCTTAATTTCATTTGGATGGTAGGCTGTTTTTTTTTTCTCCATGCGAGTTGATTGACTTTGAAACACGTGTAGCACCTGTAGTCAGTGCAGAGGTGCCATGTGAGCATCCGTTCATGTAACGTTCACCTGGAAGCGTCTGCATGTCTGGTTCAGAAAGGCAGAGTGAGCACCTGGGTGTCATCACACATGTGATATTTTACTCCTTGGGTTGCCAGGCGGGAGCCAGGACCCCCCTGACTCACAGCATGTCGGCCATCGTTAAGAGATGCCGCTTCTTATGATGGCAACATAATAAGTAGAGTCTGTATCCTGCCCATTACAATTAGGAAGTAATTGCAGTTCGATCACCTCAGGGAACCTTTCTAAGGATCCCTTCATGTCATTTGGAAGGGTTGCCAGGCATTGACAAAATCCTCTCAGGTCATGGTGTTCATCCCCTTGATGTAATGCAGTAGACAATTTGAATTAGTCTTTTTTTTAATGTACACTTTCATTCAAAAGTTTGGGATTAGTAAGATTTGGAGTCTCTTATGCTCAAGGCTGTATTTATTTGATCAAAAATACAGAAAAAACAGTAATATTGTGAAATATTTTTGCAGTTTCTAATATGGGTTTGCTATTTTAATATACTTTAAAATATAATTTATTTCTGTGATCCAGTTTTCAGTGTCACATGATCCTTCAGAAATCATTCTAATATGCTGATTTATTATCAGCGTTGAAACTGATTTGCTGCTTAATATTTTTTTTGGAACCTATGATACATTTTTCTTTGATTCTTTGATTAATGAAAAGTTATAAAGAACAGCATTTATTCAAAATAGAAATATTTTCTAACAATGTAAGTCTTTACTATCACTTTTTATCCATTTAACATATCATTACTGAAAAAAAAAAGTACTTTTAAAAAATTTTACATTAAAATTTACTGACCCCAAACGTTTGAATAGTAGTGTATATTGTAACACAAATTCTATTTTCTATTTTGAATAAACACTGTTCTTTTTATCTTTTTATTTATCAAAGAATCCTGAAAAAAGTATCACAGGTCCCAAAAAAATATTAAGCAGCACAACAGTTTCAACACTGATAATAAATCAGCATGATTTCTGAAGGATCATGTGACACTGAAGACTGGAGAAATGGCGGATGAAAATTCAGCACTGCATCACAGAAATAAATGATATTTTAAAGTATATTAAATAGGGCTGGGTGTCGATTCAGATGTCCCGATTCGATTCGATTTCGATACGCAAGCTCTCGATTCGATTCTCGATTTTTTTGATTACATTCAGTGATTATAGTTTTAATACAAATGCTATTGATATTTCTAAAAAATTAACAGTAAACATCAGTTTACAAATGGTGAATTAATAAATGGAGTAAAGTATATTTTTAAGTATATTAAAATAGAAAACGGTTGTTTTAAATTGCAGCAATATTTCACAAAATTATTTTTTTTTCTGTATTTTTGATCAAATAGATACAGCCTTGATGAGCATAAGAAACTTCTTTAAAAGCATTAAAATCTTACTGATCCCAAACTTTTGAACGGTAGTGTAAACATACAAAACAAAATTTGAATGTTGTGGTCCTCAAACAGCCATTACCCTCCTCTTATTCAGCAATATAAAATGAATGAATAATGAAGTTACAAATCTATCCACACAAAACAAATGACAACCAATATGCTTAAAAGAAAAGCATAGAAGGATTTCTAGGGCTAAATTATTATAAAATTATTTTCATACATTTTCTGCCCATTTTACAGAAACAGTATTTAAAGAATAATGTTTTATGAAAAACATTGGTCATTCTCATCTCAATCTTATAGTTTTGATTAGAATACATCACATCTTGTTTTAGCACACCTGAAGCTCAAATTTCTGAAAATTTGGTATACATATATAGTCAGAACTTCTGTAGTACTCTCCATTGGAAATGAATAAACTTGTCGTTTGTCAAAGAAAAGGCTGCTTTATACTGTCACAGCATTGTGTTACTTAGGCAAGTTTAATCATTCGATCTTGCTGTGCTGAAGTTTTAATTAAGCCATGTTATCCTTGGATTTGAGATAATGCGAGTCTTTCATTGTCACAAGTAGAACAAAAGTTGAATTGTGCTTGTTTTATTCTTCTTTTCTATGTGTAGACACTTGCACACTCTTGTTCATAGATAAAGAGAAGCTTTTGTGCTTTTCTTCATGTGTGAGGCTGCAACAGTAACAACATCCACACATCAGTTCACGTCTTTATATGTTATGTAGGTTCATGCAGTGTCTGTGTTGTGATTGACAGGCTATGAAGGAGGCAGTCTGGTCAAGTTCCTCAGGGATATCGAGCACAGCACCGAAGTGTTGCTTGACCGCTGGAACATCGACATTGTCCCTGACGATAAGGAGGAGAAGGGCGACCCTGTGCCCTACAGCATAGTGAACAACTACTTCTCCATTGGAGTGGTGAGAACATACTACACTTTTACACAAATGCTTACAGCTCAGAGAGACTCAACATCAGAACTCCTGAAAGAGCCGTTATATTAAACCTCCTCCTTCTATCCACACTCATTCATCAGACGAAATCTCTTACTCCCCATTATGAGAGTGTACTTTTACCAAAGCCTAAGGCTAAACTGCTCTTTAAAGTAATTTGTGATTAATTAAACATTGTTTTCTCATGTAGCATTAGAATTCATTATAATTGTCAGGGGAACAACAACATGTTCCAACTTTGCTGATGTGATTTACTGTGTCTGAAAGAGTGTCATGCCTGTGACTCTGTGTATTATTGCACAGAATTCTCCTTCTCACACACAGTTGCTTAGCAACCCTCTTCTGTTCAAATGTTATATCCCATGTTGTTGCTATAATCAAGCACTTATTATCAGAGCAGTTAAATGTCGATTCAATGTTTGTTTGTTTTTGACAAAAAAAATCTTCCTTTCACAGAGTAGTTACATAATCTTTTCTACTTCTTTTTATATACCAACTTGTGGGGCAGATTATATAACAAATAAATAAGTGGTTTTTGCCAGATGGATAGATGGTCACTTTCTATTACTGTAATAAGTTACTGACGTAGAAGTTGCTGAAAAGATCCCAAATAAAATGAGAGGAAAACAAAATTCAAAGATGCAGGAGTGAATGCCAATGAGGTTATTTGCAGATCGGGCTGAATTTCTGTTCTTTCGCTGGCACAGTCTGGCCACACAGGGGCCAGGTGAGTCTCCGTGAGCCTGTCGTCCTCCCCTTGTTTAGCTAATGATTAATTTCTGTCCTGGTTTTAGAACCCCTCACTATAAATAGTAAGTCTGCTTTCATTTCTGAAAAATGTCCAATATTCTATTATAATCAGCCAAATCCCAGGTGTGTTGGATGACTGCTGTTTTATCTCGCTGAAATGTGCCAAGTAGTCAGGCCACATTTAGAATGGCCAGAAATAGTGATGCGACCTGAAACAGGCCACCTGACCTGGTTGAAATGGGTGTGAAGAGTGGCAGGAGGCACATATAAGCTTTTACGCAAGGTGGCATGGAGGAATGCGCCACTTCGTGGCTGTTATGTAACTCGGCTTAGTGTCCCGCTGTCTCTGTGTTCATCAGCCAATGACATGGACCACATAAGAGTTATTGTTGTAGAAGCCTTAAAAAAATTGTTGTTGGATTGTGCAAATAATACATCTAGCATTCTAGCTCTATAGGATATATAATGCATATGTAATGATTAGCAGACTTCAGTACCTTATACTTCATGTACATGAATGTTTTTGAAAGAAGTCTCTTATGCTCACTTTTTATTTGATCAAAAATACAGTAAAACCTGTAGTATTATAAAATATTGTTAGAATTTAAAAGAAATGTTTTCTATTTTGATATATTTTAAAATGTAATTTATTCCTGTGACTTATTTACCTATTTATGATAAATAATATGCTCTAAAATAATTAAGTTTGTGTGGTCACACTTTAGTTTAAGGTCCAATTCTTGCTATTAACAAACCATTGGCTACCACTTTTGCCTCAATAAACTTCTAATTTGCTGCTTATTCATAGTTAGTAAGGCACTTGTTAAGTTTAGGTATTGGGTAGGATTAAGGATGTAGAATATGGTCATGAAGAATATGTGCTTTATTAGTACTAATGAACAGCCAATATGTTAATAACAGGCATGCTAATAAGCAACTAGTTTATAGTGAGAATTGGTCCCTATACTAAAGAGTTACCATTTGTGTCAATTCAAATACAGAAACACTGCAAAGACGCAGCTGTTTGTTCTGGTCAGGTTTGTGTCAGCCCATCTGATGATACAGTGTGGTGGTTTGAAGAGGCTGGGTAACGTGAAGGAGTGCTGACTGTGAATGGACAATGGCCTATACTGTGAACCCTGAGTCTTGTGATGGGGGTGGACTGACTGTGCCATGTGGGTCCTTGTGTGGCTTGGCACTAATGCTACTTCTCACAAGACAGCAATATATTATAAACTGTCTGGTGAGTTGGATATTTTGTAAGTTGTAGTCTCTTTTTTGGATTTAAAAAATACAGAGAAAACTAAAAGATAGACAGTTGTAGGTTAAAGGGTTAATTCACTAAAAGAATTAAACATTCTGTCATCATTTAATCACTCTCATGTTGTTCCAAACCTGTATGACTTTGTATTTTAAAATATTTCGAGAAATGTGCCCATACAATAAAAGTCAGTGGGATCCAATGTAGTTTGGACCCAAACATTATTCAAAATATCTTCTTTTGTGTTCTGCAATTGAAAAAAAAAGTGATACAGGTTTGAAACATGAGGGTGAGTAAATGATGACAGTGTATTCATTTTTGATTGAACTATCCCTTTAATATCTCTAAAAAGTGTAAACATCCAGACATTGCTGTAATTACGTTTGGTGGTGCTAGTGGCTTCTGCTTTAAACTATTTCAGATATGAAACTCTGTCATATCATAACTGACTGTTCATGAATGAATGATAGCAGTACAGTACCTAATAATGCATGCTTTGATGGATGCAGTTGATTGGATTTCAGTATGATGGACTGTTCTGAGGATGCAGGCAATATTGTAGGGGGCCTTTGGTGTCTGAAATCACGATGCTGTGGTGTATGGTGCAGTGTGGCATGGCACTGGAGAACAGGGACAGGGTGCTGCGAGTCCAGGAGGACAGGACAGATGGCTCCGCATTGGGCGCCACTGACACCTGAGTAAAGCAGTGCCATGACTCATGCACTGATGTAATCATTAGTAATGCTGTTTCAGCCTTCAACATTTTGCAGTCACTATCCATAGAGGTTGCCATGGCGTTTGTGGTTTTCAGGCCGCCATCACCAGGGTTATGTATTTCATCATTTGTGACATTCAGAGAGCTCATTTTCTCTTTAGCTAACTAATATCCATGTGGAAAGAAATAATATAGGGATAGTTCAACCAAAAATGAAGCATTAACTCATCCTGATGCTGTTCCAGATCTATATGACTTTCTTTTTTTGTGGAACACAAACAGATTTTTTGAAACATCAACTGTCTCTTTGAGTCCACATAATGCTAACTAAGGAACCGTCAAAGTTGACGTTTCAAAAATCACACTTACTGGACAAGATTTAAGCACATTGTGAAACTTTTGTGAGAAGTGACAATCCTCTGTGCTTACGCATCACTATATGTGACATTATGTCATGCTAATGTTGTATGATATACCAGTACTAAAAAGGTATTGTGATACCCTGTCTTTAAAAATGGTACTCATGTGCTATCACACACCCAATGCTCGTGCACTGAAAGCCGCCTCTCTCAGACAGCATAAGTTATCGCAAATTCAGATCTTTCACCATTTATTGCACTTTAACGGACAAGTATAAAAACAATTATGCTCGTCTTATGAGTGAACTGAATGTAAACAGTTGGAAAAAAAACGCATGTGTATCAATAAATTACATCAGTCCAGTTTTTAAAGTGACAGCAGGCTAATATTCCGGCTGCTGTCTGTATCAATAATCTTAATCAAAAAACAAAAGAAAAAGAGAAAATCATGCACTGATCTTGACTGACTAAATTTAATAGCTTTAAAAAGTATCAGTGTATGAATGTTTAATTCATACAATTAAGACTATGCAGTGCTTTACTTTTTCATTTTGATTACTTTGTTCAATGTCTGTTTTATCTCTTACTTGAATACAACTGTTAAATAGTCCTGCTGTACCTAAAACACTGTTTATTTAATTTATCTATTTTTTTTGTTGTTTTATTGTATTTATTCTTTTGTTTGTTTCTTGCATCTCTGTTAATTAGGGCTGCCCTCTAATAGTCGGCTAACCATTAGTTGACAAGAAGAGGCTTTGTCGACCAAAATTAGTCGCTTAGTCGCAGAAAAAAAATCCACAGGAAGTGGCGTAGTCACGCAATCCGTGAAGGGCAGATCGTTAATGGCTGGTCAATGGAAATATAGTACATCAGGCAGGACATCCAAACGCTCACCTATCATTCATCGACCTCCAATATGGCTTTTCATCTGAAAGATGTATGTAGTAGCAACTTAACATGGCCGCTCAATCTAATGTTAACCTAGAGAAACGTGTGCTATTCAAGTGTCTGTGTGGAGTGTGGAAGTGGAAGTGTAGTGAAAGTAGCTCACTGCATGACAGATGGAGGCGCCGGTGCGCTCACTTGCTCTTAAAATACTCCGTCATTTTTGCTCATACAGATAAGAGTAATACATCTTTCGAATCTGTAAACACTCTAAGTTTATTTGTGTGCACTCACAAAAACAACAAAACATTGCAAATTTTTTTGCGTGCGCTTCAGCGCTTATTAGGCTATAGGTAATTAAAGGCTCATTATTATGATTTATATGGTTTATTAATAAACGTGCGATTAATAGTTGACTAATGCTTAAAATGAACGACTACTAGTCGACCAGAAAAATCTTTAGTCGAGGGCAGCCCTACTGTTATTATTAATAATAACAGTAATACAAAGATAAAAATAACAAAAATGACTGTATCATGATATAAACACACTGGTCAAGTGAGAGCTTTTTTAAATTAATAGATAAAATAATGAACTATAATTTCCATGAGGGTCATCTATAATTTAATTACTTTTCCTGTTGCTTTATGTTTTTGTTATAGTATCGGTTCAGTAGTAGTATCGAGATATTTTAGTCAGGTATCTTATTGAAGTAAACATTTGATATTGTGACGACACTACAGTGTGTTGGCGTTTATCTAAAGTGTGAACTCTTGAACCTGCATTTGACAGTTTCCTGGAAGCAATTGTTTATAGTTTAAAAATGTAAAATATTAGTATTTTTCTAACACATACTTACAGTTTTGCTTTAGAATGGATTAATCAGCTTGGGTTGTATAGATTATGTCATGTTAGCTTTGTGTGGTTTTTGAAGCATCAACTTTGAGAGATATACCCATACTGAATTTCTGAGTGTGGATGCAGGAGGGAAGATACT